ACGGAGAACCATGAGTCGTTCCTTTCAACAATCGTAAGCAAAGTGTTTGAGCAATCAGATGTACGAGGTGTAATAATCAATAGCGGCATATCAGAAGTCTTCAGAAAGAAAGTATTCTGTCTTCAGAAAGCTGTCAAGAAACCTAGTAATCGTGGCGTAAGGTAACTAAATGCACTTCTTAGCAAGTTGGAAACGGGCCCTCGGTATCGATTTAATATCATATCGATCTCAATATCATACAGTTTTGTATCTTTCTTCCGTGGATTCGCCTTTCTAACGAGGGTGTATGTTGAGTATTCATTGCAAAATCGCTTTGTTTTTTTATTTCCCTCTTTGGCCTGTCCGCCATTTTGAAAATTCGTAACGGAGAGCATGTGCATTACGTGGGGTTAGTGGTTGCGTACACCTGGAACCGAGAAAAACAAATGTTCGTCGCACTGGGGAAAGAGTTTGATATGAAATCTGAATATAATCTTGAGTCAAACGCTCAGAAGACTCGCTCCATGTTGTTAGCGGTCGCTCATTATTTATCGCCTATGGGGGGGGGGGGGTTGGTTACGCCATGATAAAATTTATGATTCCCCCTCATTGACAGTGAATTGGTGGTCAATCTTCTACCGGTGCACCGGTATCGCAGAGGTCATGGATTCAAATCTCGTACGGGCCTGAATTTTTTTCAGGTCCTATTTACAACTACTCGTTTCAGTAGTGTTCTTAGCTGCGAGGATCTCGTAATTTCATCTCTCCACCGCACTGCAAATATATGAATTTTCATATATCTAAAATCAAGATTCAAATTGGTTAGCGTCTTGTTGACTTTGATTGTCTTAGCGATCGATGTAGCACCGGCATCACTAATACGATTGTGAGACAAACTTAAATTGGTTAGCGTCTTGTTGACTCTGATTGCTTTAGCAATAGATGTAGCACCGGCATTACTTATATGATTGTCATACAAATTCAAATTAGATTCTGAGACAAATTCAAATTAGTTAGCGTCTTGTTGACTTTGATTGCCTCAGCAATAGATGTAGCACCGGCATCACTAATACGATTGTGAGACAAACTTAAATTGGTTAGCGTCTTGTTGACTCTGTTTGCTTTAGCAATAGATGTAGCCCCGGCATCACTTATATGATTGTCATACAAATTCAAATTGGTTAGCGTCGTATTAAAATCTTGCCTCTAGTTGTCATCAAAAAAAAAATTGATCAAGCTTCATGGCGGACAACTTGACGTAACTACAAACATATACCTCAAATCGTGTGCATATCATGCAGATAGTGCTGCACTAGTCTAGAATAGCACCTTCTTTCATGGTCCTCTGAAGGGGCACTGTTTTGCACTTGTATGTCATTTAAAACATGTTGAAGTCGGCGGCTCTACTCGAAACTATCCTCACACCGGTCATTTGTCATAAACATGTACGTTATCACGATGCTGTATTTCTCCGTGAAGTTTCTATCGGTCGCTCCAAAGAAGACGAGAAATGGATATTTTTCATATATTTTAGCAGATTTCTGCTTTCTGAAGTAAAAACAAAACAACCCAAAAAAAAAAAAAAAAAAGAAAGAAAAAAAAGTGGAGAACTTCGAATGTACGCTAGTAAACACTGAGAATCTGAGAGTATAAAACTGTAACTGTCAGCGGCAGTACCACATGTAAAACCCAGTTGCAATCGCAATTTGGACGACATGGGCATCTCCTTTCAAAGAGCAGATTCGGGCAGTTATCACTTCCTTGTGACAGGAACTAAGATATTTCGAATCATCTGAAAACTGTCGGAAAACTGTTAGAAAATTTGCATAAGATATGATGAGGAGAGACTTATTACCGCTGCAGTGCAATCGAGTCAATCGATATTTCCTTCCATAACAAAGTTCGAAATAAAAGATTTAATGGAATCATGATGTCATAATTCCACCTTTCAAACAACTTATTATCCACACGCAAATCGCAACTTGTCACTTGAACGAATTTTCCCATGGTTAATATGTAATCTGGATTGCTTCATGTCCTTCAGGAAAAAGAAGAGTCAAAGTTCTCTTTAACTTTCCCCTGAGGTGGCCGGCTCACCAGGAAGAAACAGGAGATCGTTCGGTCCAATAACGTTGGTCTGTTCAGATTATCAAGCTAATAACTGAGAAGATTGTGCCCTTTGGTTGATCAGTGACAGCATTAATTATTTCAAATCTGTATTTCTCGGTCCACCTGACACTAAAAATAGTTCCTTTGTAATTTTGTGAGCACTTTCTATAGCATTTTATTGTCAAGGAAAATAAATCTCAAGGCTCAAAGCCAATATAACGTTCGAGCACGTGAAAGACTCCCTGAAAAAAGCTAAATTTTTGGAAATTGATTGTGATGAAATCCCTGTTCCGTTTGCTGTACTGCAGGGATACTGAGTAGTTCAAAATCTCCACTTGGTGATGATTTTCGTGCGAGTCGTACAAATTGCTATTGTGGCGACTGGGTTTTACATGTCGTGCTGCTGCTGACAAGTTGCGATTTCTGCCCTCTCAATGTTTACGAGCGTTCAATCGAGGTTTTCTTCTTCTTTTTGGTTGTTTTCACCTAGAATGCGCGGAAATCTGCTGATATATCGAAAAATGTCCATTTCTCGTCTTCTATGGGGCGACCGATGGAAACTTCATGGAGAAATACGGTGTCACGCCATCGTGACAACGGACATGTTAATGACAAATGACCGGTGTGAGGATAGTTTCGTGTAGATCAGCCGACTTCAACATGATTTAAATGACATACAAGTATAGCAGTGTATCTTCAGAGGACTTCAGATAGCTCAAATTCCCATAAAAGAAGGTGCAGCATTCGGAATCTGGAAGATATGCACACGATTTGAGGTATATGTTTGTTGTTACGTCGAGTAGTCCTCCATGAAGGTTGATCAATTTTTTTAAAGATGACTACTAGAGGTGAGATTTCTCTCCAGGATATTGTTCATAAGATAACGTTCTTTCAAAACCTTGAATGTTTCATTTTTCTGAAACATTAATTGTTGAGAACATTAGATGTAAACATCACCAAATTATGCAATATCTGATTTTGAGCTTCGTTCGCGAATTTCCCCCATAAAAAGTAGAAGCAGGCCCGCAGAGATTTTTACATATTTAATAACAAGAATATTATAACCAGCTAGGTGGGTAGTTTCAGTGGCAGAATCGGTGCACTTTTGGAGAAATTCAGATAAACGTTTTCCCTGTTTTACCCGACAACAAAAATGACCGAAACTGTACCGAGATGAATAATCTATTGGTGTGTTCACATTCACACCCAGGGAAAATTGAATGAATCGATGTAAAGACGAATGATGTTGCTATGTATGATAGAAGTGCCAATTTGTAATGTTTTATTTCGCTTGAGATAGAGAAATAAACATTTCACTCTTTTTTGCGACGTTTTTGTGTGAAAATGAGGCCCTAGGCCTCGAACAAGCAGCCGTTGTTACCATGGCAACAAGAGTGCTGCGACCTTTAAAAAGGGCAGTTTTGTGCATCCCCCTGAGCGTCTAACAGCATGCAAAATTTGAAGGGGGGGTGAAAATTTTCATTCCCCAAGATGTTTGATTCTTACAGAGACTTGTTCTTAATTCGGCTGTTTCGTCCTGTTTCGTCGCAAGCGCCCGCCAAAGGTTTTCAACACAGCACCACCGCCAGGTCCAGGATCTGCAAATGAGGATGTTCCAGTGATAATTGTACATGATGTTGGTATACAGGCAACTGATGATGACGCCCAGTTATTCTATTCTGTTGAGGAAGAGGTGGAGGAAATCTCCAAAGCCTTGGAGCTGCCAGATTTAGATGCCGAAGATTCTGGTTGCGGCTCTGACTTTGAGTTTTCATAAACGACAAAAAGTGTCAGTTTCACACTTTATCACTTTATAAGCCGAAGTTAAAGGCCCATTTCCAACCTTGAGCCAACGCGGTCGTTTGTTTTCGTTTTGAACTACCGCTTTTGTTTAAATAGCGCCTCTGATTGGTCAGTTATTTTTACCTGGTCACGTCTCAAATACCTTCTGCCTTTTCTCCGATGAATTTGAAGACCTTATCAAAATAATTCTGTTTAAAACAGTTCTATACATTTTAATCCGGTATGGAATTGGAGGAATCTATTGATTTAGTAGATTCCGAGGCAGTAAACGCTTATGGATCGGTTGTTGCTAAGGAGAAACGCGAAAATCCTTGCGAGCATTTCGAAGAAGGTGAAAATGTTGATCCACCACGTTTTCATTCATTCATCAATTTTTTTAATTGAAGTTTGCCATCCTTGTTAAATAGGACCAAGGGTCAGTTGAAGTTTCCTGCCCGTGGAGAGGAACTTGCGCTCGAAAGAGTGGTCGGGGTTGTTGTCCATGCAAAGCAGCAAATAAGAATTGTAACGCAAACTGTCAGTGTCGCTGACGTTCGAGTTCCTGCAATGAAGTGACTACACTTCAAATAATTCAACGTCCGGCAGTGCGATATTTTTCCATATTTCTCTTCGAAATCCAAAAAATATTTATATGAAAATGTTCTACCTTTATGTACAATGCTCAAGCGCTTCCAGGCAGCCTAAAATTTCGAACTTGATGTTTCTCGCTAACCCTGTATACAGAGTACGAAGCCATCCAACCGCTTAAAATTTCAATGACACGGCTCGACATGGTCCTCAAACAACTGAACTCCATATTTCTCTTTGAAATATACTAATTTTTCATTGGAAAATATTCTACCTTCATTTACAATCCTCAAGCGCTTCTAAAAAGTGAAAAAATGCCAACGTTCTCCGTTTCGCTGACCTTGTACACAGAGTGCGAAGAAATCCAAGCGTGACACTAAGAAAATTTTCACCAGACACTACCGGACAGAGTCTTCAAATAACTAAACGTCCGGCAGTCTGATATTTTTCCATATTTCTCTTTGAAAAATACCAGTTTCTATCGGAAGTATTTTGTCTTCATTTAGAATCCTCAAGCGCTTCTAGAAAGTGCAAAAATTTGATTATTGTCCTTTTCGCCGACTCTTCACAGAGAACAAAGCTTCAGCAATACATGTAGCACCCGCATCACTAATATCATTGAAAGACAAACACAAATTGGTTAGCGTCTTGTTCACTTTGATTGCCTCAGCAATACATGTAGCACCCGCATCACTAATACGATTCGCAAACAAATTCAAATTGGTTAGCGTCTTGTTCACTTTGATTGCCTCAGCAATACATGTAGCAACCGCATCACTAATACCATTGAAAGACAAATTCAAATTGGTTAGCGTCTTGTTCACTTTGATTGCCTCAGCAATACATGTAGCACCCGCAACACTAATACGATTCACAGACAAATTCAAATTGGTTAGCGTCTTGTTCACTTTGATTGCTTCAGCAATACATGTAGCACCCGCATCACTAATACGATTCTCAGACAAATACAACTTGGTTAGCGTCTTGTTCACTTTGATTGCCTCAGCAATACATGTAGCACCCGCATCACTAATACGATTCGCAGACAAATTCAAATTGGTTAGCGTCTTGTTCACTTCGATTGCCTCAGCAATACATGCAGCACCCGCATCACTAATATCATTTCTTCGCAAATACAATTTGGTTAGCGTCTCGTTCACTTTGATTGCCTCAGCAATACATGTAGCACCCGCATCACTAATACGATTCTCAGACAAATCCAAATTGGTTAGCGTCTTGTTCACTTTGATTGCCTCCGCAATACATGTAGCACCCGCATCACTAATACGATTCTCAGACAAATCCAAATTGGTTAGCGTCTTGTTCACTTTGATTGCCTCAGCAATACATGTAGCACCCGCATCACTAATACGATTCGCAGACAAATCCAAATTGGTTAGCGTCTCGTTCACTTTGATTGCCTCAGCAATACATGTAGCACCCGCATCACTAATATCATTTCTTCGCAAATACAAATTGGTTAGCGTCTTGTTCACTTTGATTGCTTCAGCAATACATGTAGCACCCGCATCACTAATACGATTCTCAGACAAATACAACTTGGTTAGCGTCTTGTTCACTTTGATTGCCTCAGCAATACATGTAGCACCCGCATCACTAATACGTTTCTCAGACAAATCCAAATTGGTTAACGTCTCGTTCACTTTGATTGCCTCAGCAATACATGTAGCACCCGCATCACTAATATCATTTCTTTGCAAATCCAAATTGGTTAGCGTCTTGTTCACTTTGATTGCCTCAGCAATACATGTAGCACCCGCATCACTAATATCATTTCTTTGCAAATACAAATTGGTTAGCGTCTTGTTCACTTTGATTGCCTCAGCAATACATGTAGCACCCGCATCACTAATACGATTCTCAGACAAATCCAAATTGGTTAGCGTCTTGTTCACTTTGATTGCCTCAGCAATACATGTAGCACCCGCATCACTAATACGCTTCTCAGACAAATCCAAATTGGTCAGATTCAAACCAGTTCCAAACGACTTCGATAAATGCGAGTGAAAATCACTTTTTTCTCTTTTACATTCGTTGATGGCCTCCAATACAATTTTTGAACCACGGCCTTCATTTTTGTTGACTTCATTTGTTAAACTCTTTACAAGAGCCACAACCTGTTCATCGCATTTCATGGCCAAAATTCCACACGAAAACAAAAGTATTTGTTTAAGTTCACCGAAATACCTTGGATCGGAAACTAGTTCTTCAGGTTTCATTTCCTTGCTTTGAATCTGAGAACAAATGAAGAATGCTGCAAAGAATTCTTGAAAACTTTTATGTAAGAAGGCATAATGCAATGTTTGTCTCAGTTTGCTGCCACCAGGCTGCACTGACAGAAATCCAAATTCAGTCAGGTCTTTTGCATGGTTTCTCACTTCACTTTCATTAAAATCCAACTTATCGTCAAGTAAACCATTCAACGCTACCTTTCCAAGGTGATTCAATTGCGGTTTGTAATGGTTTGTCAGGTCTTCGATCTTTTCTAATAGTCCCTTCTTTTTTCTATATCTTCTCAAAACACATTCAACCATATCCAAGTACAGTTGAGCTCTGCTTTCGGGGAGTGTGCCCTCAAACTCTTCGCATAAAAGGCAAAGAAGTGCTGTGTTTAGAGGATTGGCCGCTATTTCTGTCAGGTTTTTATCTCGCGACATCCGTTGCGAGAGCTTGGTGGCTAAATCCGTCCTTTCTTTAAAGTACTTGGTGACAAATTCTATCACATGCTTCTTAGTGAATCCTTCGATCTGAAGCAGCGCGTCACAACATTTTCTCACCTCTTTTCCAGCTTCTTGTCTTGCTGTTGCAACTATGTGGCATCTAGGGAGTTCTCTTCCTTCAATTAATTTGGAAAACATCGACAATTTCCCGGATGGTAACTCATCCAATCCATCCAATATGAATAAAATGCTGGACTGATTTTCACGAATAAACTGAAAAAATTGTTGTTTGACTTTTTCATCGATGCCTAGGGGCAGCAGCTGATCATCAATGGCTTCCCAAACGTCAGAGTGGATATCTCGACATTTCAGCAACAATACCAATTTTAATGCTGTTGAGCCGCAGCCCTGAAGTTCTTGCTGTTTTGTGGCCCAGTCGTAAGCGTACTTTTTACAATAGGTGGTTTTTCCCATACCAGGTTCTCCTTCAATCAACACTGTTCTCGGCGCTGAACACTCTTCATACGGGTTTAGTATTGACGACATGTCAACAAATACGTCAGTGATTTCTCCTCTCATTTTCTTTCTTCTGACCACTTTGAGCCTTGTAAAAATATTGCCGAGAAAAAACTGAAACTCTTCGCACCATGGAAATGGTGAGAGCCATCCCTCGCGAGTCTTGTACAGCTGGCGAATTCCATTGATAAGCTCAGTTGGATCAAAAACACCTAGCAGTAGCAAAATAGGTAATAAATCTAATGAATGCCGCGTTGAAAATTGTGGTACGTCCCTGTCATTCGGCACTGAATTTAAATATGCGAATGAGTACGATACCGTTGCCAAAGAAATTACTTGGACGATGCAAAAAGGTTCTAGTGTATGATTCATGCCTACTGATTAAAAGCCATTTAGATTATGAATTCAGTTGAACCTATTCTGTTTGTTCGACTTTAGCGGTGTCTAACAGTGAAACTCTGTCGTAAAATAAATTACTCGGGAGATAGATATTCATATCATTGGAGCCGTAGTCTGAGCAAGGCTTTTTCGGGATATAGCGAGACTACGAACTAATAAATGAAAACCAAACAACGTCTTTCTGCCTTCTTTGTCACGCGGTTTCATCAAAAATGCTGCAGAAAACTGGAGGCTCGCCTGCGATGAAGTAGGAGGTTTTGCCAACAGTCTTTTCCTCAGGAAATGTAAAATAACCACAAACATCTTATTCTAACCCATTTTACTCAAGACGATCCTCATTCAGCTATTTTCCCATGTAGAATTGAATACTCCACAATATGAGCGAAGGAAGGGTTTACTTATTTTATTCAGAAATATGCGGATCACATTCAATGCTATTAGGTATTCGGCACTGAATTTAAATAAGTGAACGAGTACGACACCATCGCTAAAGAACTTAATTGGACAATGAAAAAAGGTATCAATGTATAATTCATGTTAATTTAATGACCAAAGGCCATTTAGCTTATAAATGCCGTCTAACCTACTCTGTTAATTTCTAACAAGGAGCCGAACTTAATGCCAATATTTTATTTAAAACGGTACTTTATTTTTATATCGTTCTCCATTCTAATAAAAATGTAATGTTTCTGGGCTAATTACGGGTGAAAGTTTAAATAAATGAAGGGAAGGAAAGCACACCAGAGAGACTATTCCAGAGATTGTTTAAATTGAAAAACTGAATCTCATTAAGATAGGATGATCTCTCTTACATACAGAACATGTTTACTACGACTAACTATTGTATAATTCAACTGACCTTCATCCTTGCTTTCTCCCACAGGGGCTGCCAAAGTACACAGCTTTCCCTTCACTTCTTTAAGTTCACTGTCCATCTTTGCCATTTCGCTTCTCATTTTTTCAAGAGACCCTTTGTGGAATAACATTGGAACTTTTAGTCCGAGTGGGAGTCACTTTATTCATTAAAAGTTAACTAAATAGATCCTTTTCCCTTCCTCTGTGTACTTTTTTTATTCTATACAACATTCTAAAAAACCTTATGGCCCGGCTTCAGCGGTTTCTAATAGTGAAACTCAGGAGATAAATATTGATTTCATTGGAGCCGATAGTCTAAGAAATATTTTTGTCGGTAAAAGCGACATTGTAAGAACTAATTAATAAAAACCAAAGAACGCCTTTCCGCCCTCTCATTTCTCCCTATGTCCTCAACAAAAGTAAAACTAGTATAAGACAATAGCCTTCTAAGCTAAATATGTATGAGTGTTGTCAGAAAACTATCCAACACCGTGAGGTAGCCTCACATCCGTGCCATCCCATTCATCCCACACATAACCAAGTATCTTCATTTGTAGCCAGGGCAGGTTGGAAGCCAGGGTGTGCTCTTACAACAATACATTACCTAATAAAATGTTAAATTGGCCGACATCACGCGAATAATGTGGTCATGCTCAAAAGATGTTTTAATAAATCCCTGTTGGTAGGTCAGTTTATCTGTGAGTAGCTCTTTCTAGTAACCAACCTTCATCTGCGCTTTTTTCCACTGTGGTCGCCTGGCTACTAAGCGTCTCTAAAACCTCCTTCATTTTAATCTCTATCTTCTCAGTTGTGTCTCTGAGGTCGTGCCTCATCTTTTCTAGCGAATCTGGAAATGTAAGAAAGATAAGCGCAATTTCATAAGAACATTTACACCACAGATTCACGTTTACGTGTAGACAAAACAATGAAACGTATATCAATATCTAGTCGATTCCGAATAGATCAAACTCAATAGGACGCTTAGAAATTACAAAAATGCACTCCAGCAATTATACGCGAGCACCCACGAACAGAAAAAATACTGCCGATGAAAACAAAGTGTGAACATTTGGGTTAATTCTTCATTTTTCACACATAACGCTAGAATAACGTTTCAAGTATGTGACTAGTTCCGTCCTCAATGAAAACATCCTGAGTAACCCGACACGGCGGTGATTCAAAGCTGGAGAAATCTAGAGACCCGCCTTCAATGAAGTGGGAGGTTTTGCCGACAGTCTTTTCCTCAGGAAATGTAAAATAACCACATACATCTTATTCTAACCTATTTTACTCAAGACGATCCCCATTTAACTATTTTCCCATGTAGAATTGAATACTCTAATACGCCAGGAGGAAGGATTTGGTTATTTCATTCCGAAATATGCGGGTCACATCTAACGCTACTAGGAAGTTAGGTTCATTATAAGAAAGGTAATACTAAAATAAGACGATAAACTATCCCGACTACGATGATACACATGTATGAGTGCTGTCAAAACACCATCAAATCCGAGAGGTAGCCAGGGCAGAAAATCTCAGATTCCGTGGCATCCCACACATTACATAGAATCTTCGTGTAAAGCCAGTGCCAGTATTGACCAAGGTGTGCTCTTAGACTAGTAAAGTATGCTGTGTTGGCCGACATCCAGCGCTTACCGTCGTAATGCATATGAGCTGCGCTATGTACCCAAGAAAACAGCGTCGCTCTTAATAATTTTTTTTGCTGTGAGTAGCTCTCTCTACCAACTAACCTTGTACGCTTTTTTCAGCTGAGGCCGTCAGACTACTCAGCTTGTCTTTCACCTCTTTGACTTCGATCTCTATCTTGTCAATTGTGTCTCTCGTGTTATCCAGCGAATCTGAAAATTTCAAAAGGTATGCGCATTTTCATAAGCAAATTTATATCGCAGCTTCACGTTAGGTGCAGATAAAACAATGATATGTATATCAATATCTAGTCGATTCCGAATAGATCAAACGCAATAAGACGCTTAGAAATCAACAAATGCACTCTAGCTGTTGTACACGAGTACCCACGAACAGACAAAAATACTGCAAATGAAAACATAGTGTCAACATTTGGGTTAATTCTTCATTTTACACACAACGCAAATATACCTTCCAAATATGAGACTAGTTCCGACAATGATGAAAACATCATGAGCTGACCTACACTACCGTGTTAATTGGAAATATATACTTTTGTAGCCTTCTGATTCATCCACATTGGCAGTGGATAATGTTTTACTTACTTTCAATTTCTTCAAGCTTGTCTTTGATGCTGTCGTCGTCTTTCTTCCATTGTTTCATCAGTTGACGATAGTGCTCCTCGATATCTGGATCCATGCAGTCGTGCTCAAGATTGTCGATTTCAGCTCTAAAATGAGCTCCTCCGAGTCTTACCAAAGCTTCTCTTACTTCCTGCCAGTAAGCACTGAAACTGCTGTCATCCACAGAGGCTTGAGAAGCATGGCCGTATACAGTGTTCCTGTAATACTTCACTCTGGCGATGTCATCTGCGATGCTTATGTTTGTAGCTAGGGGAAGACGATCCCATCCATTGGCAGGAGGGCCCAAACCACAGATATTTCTAAGAAGCACCGTTAGAAGTGTGATATCGAAGGCTGCAGAAGACACGGGTGCGTGAGTAGGGTACAACTTTCCCCATTGCGTGGGATTCAGCACTTTCTTCCTCCCTTTGTACAGTGATTGCAATGTGGCGTAATGCACTGAGGTACTTCCCAAAACTGTATATAGAGTCGCTGGTGGATGTATTGTGTCAAAAGTGGACCTAAGCACCTGAGATCCAACATCCACCAGGAGGCGGCATAGCCTTGCATAGTTGGTAGTCTCTTTCGTAGACGCAAATGGCGAAATAGCCGTAGCCATAATACTAACTTTTCCAGGATGACCTGTCAAAAAGAGAATTGACATTAAGTAATGTTAATCAAACCCATTCGAAAAAAAAAAAAAAAAAAACTCCCGATAGCCAATTGAGACCGAGAATGGTTTCAAATCGTGATGTCATTTTCTAAATCCTTTTAAGCAAGGAACACCAACGAAAGAACCTAATAAGAGATTTAATCTGAGATTTTTCATTTCAACCCAGTTTCTAGATTAAGAAAGAGTTTTGTTTTTCAGTTTACAAAGTAACAACCAGAGACATAAACAGCAGAAATGAAACGCGATTTGAAAGGTTAAGGGGAAATAAGTTTTTTTTTCCTCTCTAGGGCCTTAAACCCGGTCAGTTCTGGCTGGTTGACGTTTGATTCTTAATCATCATCATCATCATCATCATTATCATTTTATTTGATAATGCAGGTAACAAATTGGCAGCCAAGAAGGCTGATGTGGACCTACACATCACTAAAATAATTAAATGATATATACTATACTGCTAAAATAAAAAACTAATCTAAAAAGAGAAACTTAATCTTAAAATTTAGGATTTATTATATCTAACAAAATTCCCCATTTCGCCTAAGAAGTATCTAATAATAAAAGTAATCACAGTTGTACCAGCATTAATACAAAAGCCGCACCCGTTTTTACTACTTCATGCAGCATCACAAAGATCTGACCATTGCCGGCGTAACCATTATACCTAAACCTTAAAACCTCCATAGCTCCAAAACGATGCACAAGCAGACACAAATATATAAACTACAGTTAAAAATCAAAGCAAGACTGCACAACCTCCATTTACCACCCTGCAAAGATCACTGCTACAACTTGGTCACTTGAAACATAATTGCAAAAGCATCATCTATCACCATCCCAACAAGAACAAAAACTACACAATCACAAGCAAACTACATAACCATAAGCAAACAACACTGTGTTAAGAAAATTTTCGTCAATATGGGAATCACGCAGTTACACTACACTGAATCATGCAGTTAAACTGCACTGAACTGTTTGAATTGACAACTTTCTCGATAATATTATCAGTGCAATGGCCTCTGAAAGTTGTAGTATTGCTTGTTTTAGGCTACATTTCTGAAACATTGCATGCTATATTTTAATTTGTTATCTTCAGATATTATAAAAGAAGGTACTGACTCGAAATATGACATGTCTTTCAGTAAACTTAATTCACACTTGGACTCAAACTTCTTGAAATTTATACTCCTCATGTCAGCTTGGTGTTGCTACTGCTAATGTACAGTTGTTGTTATGGTTATTAGTGTTTAGTCAAAAACACTGAAAACTTGGATGTCATAAATTTGAACAAAATTGGTATGCATGTAGCATTTATTTCTCCCAAAAGAATTACCATAATTAAAGTTATGCAGTCATAATGTCCATAATATAATGTCTATAATGTGATGTCTGTAATATAATGTCTGTAACATAATGTCCATAACATATAGTGGGCTTTATTTTTTCTTGTGCTTTTCGAGGATTTTGGTAATTTACAACACTCAAGTTTAGGCCCCTAGAATTTGTAAAAAAAGAGCCAAGCAGACCAAAAAAAACTGGTTTTCAATTTCAGAGAAAACAAAAAAAGAGCTATTTTCATACACTTTTCATTGGACAAAAATAAACAGCCTCTCTTGGCCATTTCCTGCAAAGTCAACTTTCAGATTACTGTTTTTTAAACAATTTAGGGTCTCCTTATTCCAAAAATTCATGAGTGGGCTAGATATGAAATATTTTAAATTTCACTATTTACATATAGGTCAATATGAATAGGTCATGATGGTTTTGGTTATTTTTACCATCTCGTAAAAATTGCTCTTGCCATCCGATGAAATATACTTTTACACAAATGTTTTGGCCGTCAATGGCTCTATATGTAATGGTAATTTATGAATATCTTGAACATGTTGGATTGTTTACATGATCTTCGTTATTCATCCAGCTTGGGTTAGATTTTGTGCTTTGACGTCCATGCTACAAAAATTATCAAAAGTTAAACCTCTCCACACAAAAAAATAATTTATGCAAAATCACCATGGTAGCCGCTAATTGCCAAAGGGTACCTTAAAGGACTTAAGTTAGGTTTAACTTGGCAAAACCTTAATGATAGACACTTTGCATGAATGTACTAATTTCCCATGCAAGACATGCAAGCATGGGGTGATAATTGCTAATCCATATGTACTTTGCCAAGGATGGAACCAGATCTCTGCACAAGATCTTCCATATTCCTGTTTTAGGAGGGGAGCTTAAACTTTGATTTTATATGAATTAATAAGTTTTAATCAATGACCCAAAATTGAGTCTCTCAAATGTTAATATTCATAAGTCAACATACAGTTGAAACACTTCACAAACCTAGCTGCATGTAATCAGTAATTAAACCAGCAGTATATCAGAAGGACCACCAGAATTTCAGCAACATTTTCTAAGAGTATTTCCACATGTTTGTAGCCAAACATAATCATGCACAACCATCGATCACAACATAATTAAATAGGTCATTAATATAATGTATAGTTCTTGACATAACATTACCAGGCAAAATAATTAATACTCACATGGATATAAGTGAAATGAGAGCATGCAGAATTCTAAACATATGCAAACAGGACACAATTATTCCCAGCAAATAAATTATTAACCCTTTAACTCCCACATCAAATTTGTAATTCTCCTTACTCCCAACCATACAATTCTTATAATGTTAGTTCAGAGAATTTAGTATTGGATCAACTTATTATCCCCAAATTTATATTTTTCTTTACTCTCATCACTTATCTGGTTGATATTGTGTTGATATTGTAAGGAGAAATTCTGTCTTGGTCACTCATGGCAATTAAAGGGTTAATAAAGATTGACAAAATGAAGGCAAGTTTCAAAAATGAGAGAAAAAAAGAGCAGCAAGTCCTCCTACCTTGTAAAGAGTTTCCTGGGTTTGAGAAAATAACCCTTGAATCAGGGATAAAGTCAGAAAGTCTGAAAAGAAAAGCAGCAGAACAACAGTTGCTATAAATCAGTTATGAAAGACAATGAAAGTCACAAAGAAGGGCACTAACAGGTGCCCCAAGGTTATCAGTGGTATTAACCACAACATTATATAATATCAAATTAATTTCATATTATCAGCTGAGTTGATAATGTAAATTCACCACTGTGATGAGTTTAAAAGCTGACAATTCCTTTGTCAGCCCAATTGCTCTGATGAAAAGGCTAACACTCAAAATGTCATCTTTTTAAACCTTATGAACTCAATTGATAATACTAAATTATCCTGGCATACTCTCCCACTGAGGCAGCACCACAGTTTCTTTAGAAACTTACCCCCTTTATTTATAATATTAGCAGTGAACTGTAATCTGGAGAGCTTTGATAATTCATAGATTACATACTAGGCTTCCCTCCTCAGGGAACATCACTCTAGCTCATTAACTGTTCAAGGAGAGCTAAGAAACAATAGCTTAGAATTCTAAACATATGCAAACAGGACACAATTATCCAAGTGAATGAAGAATTTAATATCAGCAAATAAATTATTAACCCTTTAACTCCCACATCAAATTTGTAATTCTCCTTACTCCCAACCATACAATTCTTATAATGTTAGTTCGGAGAATTTAGTATTGAATCAACTTATTATCCCCAAATTTATACATTTCTTTACTCTCATCACTTATCTGGTTGATATTCCGTTGACATTGTAAGGAGAAATTCTGTCTTGGTCACTCATGGCAGTTAAAGGGTTAATACAGATTGACAAAATGAAGGCAAGTTTCAAAAATGAGAGAAAAAAAGAGCAGCAAGTCCTCCTACCTTGTATAGAGTTTCCTGGGTTCTAGAAAATAACCCTTCAATCAGGGATAAAGTCAGAAAGTCTGAAAAGGGAAGCAGCAGAACAACAGTTACTAAATATCAGTTATGAAAGACAAAGACAGTCACAAATAAGGGCACGAACAGGTGCCTAAAGTTGTAAGTGGTATTAACCGCATCATTTTATAATTATATCCAAGTAATTTCATATTATCAGCTGAGTTAATTGATAATGTAAATTTGCTACTGTGACGAGTTTAAAAGCTGACAATTTGTTGCTCTGACAATGGGCTAACACTCAAAATGTCATATGTCATCTTTTTAAACCTTATCAACTCAGTTGATAATACTAAATTATCCTGGTTTACTCTCCCACGAAGGCAGCACCAGTTTCTTTAGAAACTTACCCCCTTTATTCATTTATAATTATCACAATTCAACTGGAATTAAAAAAAAACAACAGCAACAACAACAAAAACCACCATGATTCACAAAGGCTGACCAAATGTGACTCTCCATATGATTTCAGGGACAAAGGTGATAACACACACACAACACACCAACACATCATGCAGAATGCCCATTGTTCTCATGACATTTACTAACAGTAGTGAAAAATATATAGATCTGTAATATTAGCAGTGAACTGTGCTCTGGAGAACTTTGATTGGTCATAGATTATGCAGGCTGTCCTCCTCAGGGAATATCACTCTCTAGCTCATTAACTGTTCAGGCGGAGCTAAGAAACAACAGCTTAATAGAAAGTTATTGTTTATTAGATATTGTTATAAAAAAATCACTCATTCATGCTTGTGTTACAAGCTGGAAGAGCATTCAATTTTAAAACCTTTCATTATACATATTCATCTCTTTCTACACCTTACTCAATAAACACTTCGGTTCTATCATTAACCATATATAAGATTCTATTTTCATCAGTAAAATCCACCTGCACAATTTTTCTATGATTGTAAGGACATAATAAAGTCTTAAAAGTCACTTTGACTCCCGTTTCTTTGAAACGAAATGTGCCATCATGATTCCGAGAATCATGAGGGCAATTCCATGTTACAGACATTACATTCAGAGACCAATTTTTTGGAACCTAATTTCCTTAAAAAACTTATTTTGCACAGTTTTCAATGTATAATTTGTACAAACATTTCACACAGCTAGGGTACATGACCATCAGCAGAAAAGCAACTTTCCTTTCTTTGACAAAGGCTTCTAAAATTTTTGGGTTAAAAAATCAACCTACAATTTTTTGTGTTCACTCGACACTTTTTTCCATGTGAATTGACTATTCAGACAAAAATTATTTTAAAATAATAGGAACAAAGCTGCTTCATTAGCTTTTTAAAAATCTAGTTGTATCCCTTATTCTGTAGTTAGATTTGAGCTTGAGCTAAAAACTTCCTGTTGTGGACATAACACAATTTTTGTTACAGACATTACACTGTGGAACCTTTTTTTAACACTGGTGAGAAAGAATAGTTTTGTTTATCTATGAGCTTTTTATAATTGGCTTTGTCAGAACTGATAAATTTATCTTAATCAGGCCCAATTACAAGTTAACCCTTTAACTCCCAGAGGTGATTAATGTAAAACTTCTCCCTACAAATCCATACATTATTCAGGAAACAGGTGATGAGAATATTCAAACTTATCAGGTAGAAGCTGCTATCTTCATCTAGCACCAAGTTCTCATAACTAATTTACAAGGAAATGTGTAGCAGCTAGAGGAGGGGAAAACTAACAATTAGATCTTGGGAGTTAAAGGTTAATTCTCTTTTCTGGTTGTGCTGATAACCAAAGCATTAATATCACACTTGGGTGTACATGTAACTGTGGTAGGTGGAGTATCCCATATGGAGCATGCTCCTTACAATTCCATTTTATTGAGCATGCTCTAACTAGTGTTTCTGCTGTCTTTTGGTTCTTGCTTTCTGAGATGCAGTACAGGTTTCTAGTGTGACAACAAGTTTTACATTGGAAGAGCCCTTAGGGTTACTGATAATGAGGTTGAAATCAAATTTCTTCACCAAGTTTTGAAAACATTTAACTGGCCTCTGAGGAGCAATATTGATATTGTCCACAAGAGAAGAGTCTACTGTGGCTCCAAAGAGCTGAAAGGCACTGGACCTTTCAATATTCCAAGTCTTTCATATATTGAGAGGATTTTTAAATATCTTTGAAAATAAAATGTTTGCAAATAAATGATCAAATTAACTGCAGATTGCAGAAGTTAAACACTGCTTTAATAACTAAACTTAGATTGTTCTGATCTTTTTGTAAGAGTACTATTCATTGACTCTTAGTAAGCCAGTTGCACTTGCTCTCATTTACAAAGTACATCCATTTTGGAAAAAATCCTATCTGCAAGTTCTTCTATGTGTTGAGTTCTGTTAGTTTTGTTGTTCTGGTGAGACTTAAGGAATACAATTGTGTCTTACTGAAATCATTTTAAACCTTTCAGCGTGCCAGCTATTTTCATACACTTTTCATTGGACAAAAATAAACAGCCTTTCTTGGCCATTTCCCGCAAAGTCATCTTTCAGATTACTATTTTTGAAACAATTTAGGGTCCCCTTATTCCAAAAATCCATGATTGGGCTAGATGTGAAATAATTTATTTTAAATTTCACTATTGAGGCAGTTGTAAAATAGAATAGGTCATGATGGTTTTGGTTATTTTTATCATCCTGTAAAAATTGCTCTTGCCATCCGGTGAAATATACTTTTACACAAATGTTTTGGCCGTCAATGGCTTTATGTAATGGCAATTTATGAATATCTTGAATGTGTTGGATTGTTTATGTGATCTTCATGATTCATCCAGCATTGGGTTAGATTTTGTGCTTTGACATGCTACAAACATCATCAGAAGTAACCTCTCCACATGAAAAAAATAATTTACACAAAATCAACATGGTAGCTGCTAATTGCCAAAGGGTACCTTGAAGGACTTAAGTTAGGTTTAACTTGGCAAAACCTATGATAGACAGTTTGCAAGAATGTACTAATTTCCCAAGACATGCAAGTGTGGGGTGATTATGTACTTTGTCAAGGATGGAACCAGATTTCTGCACAAGATCTTCCATATTCCTGTTTTAGGAGGGGAGCTTAAACTTTGATTTTATATACATTTATAAGTCTTAATCAGTGACCAAATTACCACCCAACACAGGAACCAAAGAGATGACTCAATCAGCATAAAATCGAGTCTCTCAAATGTTAATATTCATAAGTCAACATACAGTTAAAGCACTCCACAAACCTAGCTGTACACAGTAATTCAACCAGCAGTATATTAAAAGGACCACCAGAATTTCAGCAACATTTTCTAAGAGTATTTCCACATGTTTGTAGCCAAACATAATCACAACCATCGATCACAACATAATTAAATAGGTAAGTAATATAATGCATAGTTCTTGACATAACATTACCAGAAAAAATAATTGATACTACATGGATATGAGTGAAATAAAAGCATGCAGAATTCTAAACATATGCAAACAGGACAAAATTATTCCCTGCAAATAAATTATTAAGTAAACCCTTTAACTCTCACATCAAATTTGTAATTCTCCTTACTCCAAACCATACAATTCTTATAAGGTTAGTTCAGAGAATTTACAGTAATATTGGATCAACTAATCATCCCCAAATTTATACATTTCTTTACTCTCATCACTTCTCTGGTTGATATTGTGTTGATATTGTAAGGAGAAATTCTGTCTTGGTCACTCATGACAATTAAAGGGTTAATACAGATTGACAAAATGAAGGCAAGTTTCAAAAATGAGAGAAAAAAAGAGCAGCAAGTCCTCCTACCTTGTATAGAGTTTCCTGGGTTCAAGAAAATAACCCTTGAATCAGGGATAAAGTCAGAAAGTCTGAAAAGACAAGCAGCAGAACAACAGTTACTATATATCAGTTATGAAAGACAATGACAGTCACAAATAAGGGCACTAACAGGTGCCCCAAGGTTATAAGTGGTATTAACGGCAACATTATATAATTGTATCAAAGTACTTTCTCATTGTCAGCCAAGTTGATAAATAAATGTAAATTCGCCTCTGCAATGAGGTTAAAAGCTGACAATTTGTTTGCTCTGACAAAGGGCTAACACTCAAAATGTCATCTTTTTAAACCTTATCAACTCAACTGATAATACTAAATTATCCTGTTATACTCTCCCACCAAGGCAGTACCACAGTTTCCTTATAAACTTATACCCCCTTTATTCATTTATAATTATCAAAAGTCAACTAGAATTAAAAACAACAACAACAACAACAACAACAACAACAACAACAACAACAAAAACCTCCATGATTCACAAAGGCTGACCAAATGTGACCCTCCATATGATTTCAGGGACAAAGATGAGAACACACACACAACACATCAACACATCGTGCAGATTGCATAACTTTAAAATCTAGTTGTATTCCTTATTCTGTATTTAGATTTTGTGTTTGAGGTAAAAACTTCCTGTTATGGACATTACACAATTTTTGTTACGGACATTACGCTGTGGAACTTTTTCTTACACTGGTAAGAATAAAGGAATATTTTTATTTATTTAATATGAACTTTTGATAATAGACTTTGCCAGAACTGATAAATTTATCTTAATCAGACCCAGTTAAAAGTTAATTCTTTTTTTTGGTTCAGCTGATAATCATAACATCAATACTAAACTTAGGTGTACATGTAATGGTGGTATCTAGTATTCCATAAAGAGCATGCTCCTTACGATTCAGTTTTAATGAGCATGCTCTAACTAGTGTTTCTGCTGTCTTTTGGTTCTTGCTTTCTGGTGCAGATTTCTAGTGTGACACCAAGTTTTACATTGGAAGAGCCCTTAGGGTTACTGATAATGAGGTTGAAATCAAATTTCTTCACCAAGTTGTCAAAACATTTAACTGGCCTCTGAGAAGCAATATTGATATTGTCCACAAGAGAAGAGTCTTCTATGACTCCAAAGAGCTTAAAGGCACTGGATGTTTCCATGTTCCAAGTCTTTCATATATCAAGAGGCTTTTTAAATATCTTCAAAAAGAAAATGTTTTCAAATAAATAATCAAACTAGCTGCAGATTGCAGTAGTTAAACACTGCTTTAATTACAAAACTTGGATTGTTCTGAACTTTTTGTAAGAGTACTATTCATTGACTGTTAATAAGCCAGTTGATACTATTTTGGAAAGTTACACTGCACTGAGCTGTATGAATTGACAACTTTCTCTATAGTATTATCAGTGCAGTGGCCTTTGAAAGTTGAATTAAGTATTGCTTGTTTAAAGCTACATTTCTGAAACATTGCATGTTATATTTTAATTTGTTATCTTCAGATATTATAAAAGAAGGTGCTGACTCTAAATATACATGTATGTCTCAGAAAACTTAATTCACACTTGGACTCACACTTTTTGAAAATTTATACTCCTCATGTCAGCATGGTGTTACTTCTCCTAATCAATGTACAGTTGTTGTTATGGTTATTGTTAATGGTGTTTAGTTAAAAGCACTGAAAACTTGGATGTGATAAATTTGAACAAAATTGGTATGCATGTAGCATTTATTTCTCCAAAGAGAATTACCATAATTAAAGTCATGCAGTCATAATGTCCATAATATAATGTCTATAATGTGATGTCTGTAATGTAATGTCTTTAATATGATGTCCATTACATGAAGTGGGCTTTATGTTTTCATGTGTTTTCCAGGATTTCGATAATTTACAACACTCAAGTTTAGGCCCCTAGAAAGTAAAAAAGGAGTCAAGCAGACCAATTTCAATTTCAGAGAAAACAAAAAAAGAGGACTGTTTTTATTATGGACATTATGTAATATCCATAACAAAATAATGTTACTTGCTCTCATTTACACGTACAAAGTACACCCATTTTAGAAAAAATCTTATCCACAAGTTCTTCCTTGTGTTGAGTTCTGTTAGCTTTGTTCCTCTGGTGAGATTTAATGAATACATGTGTCTTACTTAAATCATTTTAAACCTTTCAGCGTGCCAGCCATTTTCACACACTTTTCATTGGACAAAAATAAACAGCCTCTCTTAGCCATTTTCCACAAAGTCAACTTTCAGATTACTATTTTTTAAACAATTAAGGGTCTCCTTAATCTAAAAATCCATGATTGGGCTAGATATGAAATATTTTAAATTTCATCATTTAAGCAGTTGTAAAATGGTATGGGCCATGATATCGATGATGTTCATTATTTTTACCATCCCCTAAAAATCCCTCTGGCCATCCAATGAAATATACTTTTACACAAACATTTTGGCTGTATATAACTGTGATTTATGAATATCTTGAACATATTGGATTGTTTACATGTAATTGTCACAATTTGTCCAGCACTGAGTTAGATTTTGTGCTTCAATATGCTACAAACATCATCAAAGGTATGTAACCTCCACATGAAAAAAAGTAATTGAAGTGTCTGCTTTAAATCCTAATGCAACTCATACACAGCCAAATGTTCCAACTTTGTTTTTGCTAATCAAGAAGTTGATAATTATAAACATGGATGTTTTCAAGTAGAAGTGTGTTGTGAACTTAAGCTTGCTATCACCTTTCTCCCAAAAATCATATGGATGGTCACAAATACAGAACCTTGCATAAGAGTGAGCAGTTGCATCCTATACTGGTCATTACACCTGTAACAACCAAAGCAACTTTCTAATCATTAGATGCATTTCAGCTGCAAGGTCCAACATAATAAGACATGGTGTCAAACACTATTGAAGGATGACAACATTCAATTTATACTCCTGAGCGTAAATTCAAAGGATCGAACCACTGGTTAAAGATTGATGCAAATTTAATTAGTGGCCTATCTTGCTACTTTAACATTATGTTTCATATTCAAAGCAAACTGATATTCATGAAAAAAAGAGAATAGCCCATAATAACATAAACATTTTTCATTCCCATGAGAATAAGACACAAAAAATCCTTACATATATGTCTTATATTAAAGAGGGAAAAATGGAAAAAAAAAACATATATACCTACCCTGTTAAGATTTCCTGCCTTCAAAAAATCACAATATGAGCAGTCAGAAAATGATGGACATGTAATAATTTCTGAAAAAGAAAAACATAAAATAAATATTAATCAAATGTGAGAGATATTGACAGTCACAAAAATTCCATTTAAGGTGCTATATTTATTCCTTTAACTCCCATGAGTGACCAACACCAAATTTCTCCTTACAATCAACCAAATAAGTGACAAGAATTAAGAAAAATATTAATTCAGGGATAATTAGTTGATCCAATACTAAATTCTCTGAACTAACATTATAAGAATTGTATAACTGACAGTAAGGAGAATTACAAATTGGATCTGGGAGTTAAAGGGTTAAGGCAGTAATTGTTGCTATTGAACAATAAAATGAACTGAAGAAAGCTTTAGGACAATCTGAAACACATAGATGACATAAGGCTGTTTCACTCGATCATGCTCAAAAGGGGTTGTTGGAAAATAATTGAACTCAAGAGGAATCCTATAATGGTAAAACCTTCAGATATTTCAATTCATGGATACTGCATGTGTTTGCTATTTTTAAAACACAGCAGGTTGAACTGGGAACTGAGGATAATATATAAATATAATACATAATATGTAAATATTTCATTCAACAAATTGCCAAGGAAAACTTCAATAGTTTTTGGGAAAATTTAAGCTTTGAATCGGCTGTTGCATAATTTAACATCTGCAGACTATTCAGTGGTTCCTGTTACTGGTAAAGTAAAGCTATATGCTAAGGCACAAAGAAAGATTGCTTTGGGATTAGAGTTCAAATGCTCAATAGCCTCTTCAGTGCACACTGAACCTCATTTGCCATTTTCTTTCCATCCCTACCTACTCAATGGTTATTTGTTGTGGAAATCTTCCCTATCTTTTGGGTTTTCTGTATAAGAAAACCTCTCTGTTAATATTATGTTTTAGCACTATTAGATTTATCAGCTTACATGCCTCAAATAAGAGTCAAATTTTGTGGAAAATAAGTTAATCATATAAAGACTGCATGATTTGTCCCAAACATTACTTGTGGTCAAATGTCCTATGATTTATCAGATTGAATTGAAAGGCACAATAATTTTGTTGAAAAAATATCATCGATAAATAATGCCTAACTCGAGTTCTCGGAAAACATGTCATTGAATTAGAGACGGTAAGTCATTCTCTAGCACTGGAAAACGAACTGTGAGTAAAGGCTTTCGTTTTCAGTTTCCTGTCGCCTTCGAAGATAGCAACTTCCGCCTAGACTGATACGTATTGCGTGTTCCAATCTTCACTAAAACACTTCCCTGTCCTTTTAATCTAGATCAGAAACGACTGCTGGAAGTAAAACAGCTGGTCTGAGTACAAAACAGACCCTTACTAAAGTATGAAATTCAAATAAAGTGACCTTTTAGTGAGCATCAATTCATAACTCGTGAATCTACTTACCTCTAAGAATGGTGATTTAAATGAAATAATTACACCCGGGGAACGTGAAGAGGCTACGCTTTCGTCCTGAAAAGAGAAAAAAATTAGCTTATGTATCAAGTTTATCTTCACCATACGCTTATTTCCAAAGGCTTGTGTTAAAACTTTCGTAATCATACGCATTTACGCGAGTGATATACCGTAAGTCAACAACGGGTTATTGAAGTTTAAGTTAAAGTTACGGAGTGAATAACTTTACTATTTTATCTGTACCTGCTCTTTCTTCGGGTCAACTCTTCTCACGGACAGCAATGTGAGTTTAAACCGATTCGTTCCTTGTTTCCTGATCTTCCGTCGAGAGAACGAAGAAAGTCATAAAAGGTAGGTATTCTAAAAGACTCAGAGAGGGGGGTTGTTCATGACATGCGCAAATAAGATTATTCTCAAATGAAATATAACACCTAAAATCGAGTAACACCGTGACTATCACGCAATGAAACTAACTTTGCAATGCGTTTCTCGGCCTCAGGAAGAAACATCGTTCAAAAAAATTACAACGGCATTCTTTTAAGGTTCACATGAACAATAAGCAACTTTTTTTTCTCCTAAAGCTGGAGACGAGTTTTCGTCAGAGTTGCTTCCACACAACAACGCGTGATTCACTTCATACCACCTCTTACTACAGGTCACGCATCTTAACAAGACACTCACGGCAAATTTCAAGTACCATCTTATTGCCAAAACTACCGACGAGTGATGCGTTCGTCTTCTTATGTCTTCTTATGTCTTCAAAATTTTTAAAGGCCGGAATCCGCCCCTCCCCAACCCCCCCCCCACCCCTTAAAAACATGGCCAGAAACTCTCACCTTCGACGCTCGTAGTTGCCACTTAATCCCAATCAAAACCTCCCTCCTTCTGATTACTAATCGTTGGAGTCTGATCAGGAAAGCTATACTGTAAACTAAGCCTTTGAGTCTGTTCCTTTGACGTCTCCATCATCGACCCGTCCAAAGACTGGCTAGGCGAGAAGGACTGACCTAGATGGACCTGATCAGAATATTGTACGCAATCAACACATGGACAGAGAGTCGCTAGTCGGATGGTCCTGCGGGAATTAAAGAAAGGAAGTTTGCGACTGATTTTAAATTACAGGATAAATGCTCTCAAATATATTTTTGAGCTGACGCCTACAAAGGAAAAGCATAAAATTTTCACAATAAATACTTAATTCATAAAGCTCTACTAAAACATTATTGACCTTGTTCCTCTAACTTGCAAGTTATCTGTGCAATCTCAAATAGTGAATATAAAATCTGAATTAAACCCTAAGTCAAACATTCAGAAAGACTAGCTTCATGTTCATGCTCATTATTTATCGCCTATGGGGGGCAGGAGGATTTTGGTTGTGTCACGACTTAATTTACCTGCTTCCCCCATAATATACTTATGATTCCTCATTGACAGTCAATTGGCGGTCAGTTTTCTATAGTCCCCCTTAAAACTCTGTTGGCGACAACTGATCAGCCTCCGTTCATTGCAAACCATGTAAACCCCATCCCCCATTCCCCTCCCCCCTCAAAAAAAAAAAAAAAAAAAAAAAAAAAAAGGAAGATGAATTGTCCCTCCCCCGGTGATAAATAAAGTGTCTGGTCTCTAAAACTCTTCACATAACTCAATTTTGTTAGTCTTTGAAAATATTTACTCGTGCTTATTTATTCCAAATTGAACTCGAAATCATGTGATTACCTCTACAAATTCAAATTGGTTAGCGTCTTGTTGACTTTGATTGCCTCAGCAATAGATGTAGTTCCAGCATCACTAATACCATTGCTACACAAATTCAAATTGGTTAGCGTCTTGTTGACTTTGATTGCCTCAGCAATAGATGTAGCGCTGGCTTCACTCATGCCTTTGTCAGACCAATCCAAATTGGTTAGCGTCTTGTTCACTTTGATGGCCTCGGTAATAGAGGTAGCACCAGCACCACCAATACCATTGTAATACAAATTCAAATTGGTCAGATTCAAACAAGTTCCAAAAGACTTCGTTAACCGTGAGTGAAAATCACTCTTTTGTCTTTTACATTCGTTAATGGCCTCCAATACAACTTTTAAACCACTGCCTTCATTTTCCTTGACTTCATTTGTTAAACTCTTTACAAGAGCCACGACGTGTTCATCGGATTTCATGGCTGAAAGTACCTCTTCAAGTTTAAAAAAATACCTTGAATAGGAAACTAGTTCGTCAAGTCTAATTTCCCTGCTTTGAATCTGAGCACAATTGAAGAATGCTGCAAAGAATTCTTAAAACTTTTATGCAAGAAATCCAAATTCAGCCAACTCTTTTGCATGGTTTCCCAATTGAGTTTCATTCAAATCCAATTTGTAGTTAGATAAACCATTCAACGCTACCAACCCGAGGCAATTCAAATGCGGTTTGTAAAGATCTGTCGGGTCTTCTTCCGTTTCTACTGGTCCCTTCCAGGGTTTGAGCCAGGCCGCGCTATTGCGCCAATCACGCACTGCAATTGAAATTGTCCCTTAAAAAAACGGCCTAGGGGACAATCTGTCCCCTACCAAATTCAGGGGAAAAAACTCGAAAAAGCACACACGAAGAGTTTTATTTCAAAACAGAAATTGCGAGCTAAAACAGAACGTGGAAAGTATATTTTATCGCACGTTTAAAGTTCATTCTAAAGTCACGTTTCAGGCACGCTTTACTGAACACGTACGTCTCGTGGTCAACTAAGCGTGGTGAACGCACCTGGCAATCTATACTGCACTTTTCACAAACATGCGAACTCTAAGGGTGCGTTCCTTTGGGAGGATCCGGATTAGGATTTGTGATCTAAGATCATACAGATCTTTCTGTTAAGATAATTGACGGCAGCGAAAAACTTAATCGTCAAAAATGTAGAATTGAATGGAACTTTGCTAAAGAGCTGATTGTGAGGGAATATTACCCCGTGGGCCACATTGCTGAACTATGGAAAATGCTCGCTACCCATCATAGCGATGAGGTCCGAAATTTTATTAAGCTTTGTCAAGTGGCACTTGTATCGCCTACTAATACAGCTGGCTGTGAAAGAGGTTTTAGCGCACAGAATGGAATTAGGAATGCTTTGAGAAACAGATTGAAAGCTGAGATGTGCTCATGACCATTGACATTGAGGGGCCACCTTTCAAGGACTTTGACTTTTCTACAGCCCTTGATGTTTAGGCGAGAACCAACAGAAGAATTAGTACAAGTACGTCTACCAGTAATTAAGAAAGGAATTGAAGTTTACAAGGGGATGCCGGGACAAGATTCTGCCGTGTAATGTTTTGAAGTATAAAGCATAGTCATTGATCCTTTGTTTAAATATGACGAGAAAAAAAAAGTGTTGATACCAATACAGTACTGTGCAAAAGAATTGCAAACGATTACCGTCGTTTATCGCGATAATCGCGAGATATCAGCGATATTTGAGCGATATTTCCGTTAGGGGGGCTATTGTTCTAACAACCGCGAGATGTCGCCGATATATCGTTGAGCTCCTCACAAATTATCGTTTTCCCTGAGCGATATATCATTTGAACTCAGCGATATATCGTTTTTCCGGAACGATATATCGTTTGAACTCAGCCGCTTAACGATATCTCGTTTAAACTAGGCGACATATCGTTGCAGCTTAGCGATATATCGTTTGCGTCGATAAGATATCGCCATGGCTAAATGTTAGACTGGTGAGGCAACATTGCGCCGTTCGGCGAGTTTTTGACCAGACTGATACTGTCTGAGTGAGTAGGAAAGTAAACCTAGTGTATCATTCTATTCTGTTTCATCAGCGTGAAAAGGGCAGTATAATGAATTTAAGCCAGTTTCGCTACATACAGAGTCGGCTATGGTCGAAGTTTGCCCCACGTTCGCTACACATCAGTCAAGCAAGTTCGCTACTACACAAAATAAAACAAATTATAAGAAAGACTATATTTATTTTGGTATCCGCGGGTTTCGCCCATAACGAGTTTCAGCCAAGAAGCGTTTCGCCCAAGAAGCGTTTCGCCCATAACGAGAATGGTTTCGCCCAGGCATAAATTCGATTCGCCCAGACTGACAGTCAGTGATTATCCAGGCTAAGGGCCTCTTTAGACATATGCTTTAGATGAGCCCAGTAACCGGGCTTTTGTTTTCTGTTCATACAATGTTCATACACGACTTTCGTAATGGCGGACGTAGCGCGGGGCCTGACCTTCTTGTCTGGGTCGCACAGGTTGTTTGCAAGTTATACAACAGTCGTTTGAACACATTTTTTTGGACGAGACACGAGAAATTTCGTATGGCGGGTGTGTATGGCGATCTATGATCGAATGACTCTCGTGATCGGTATTAACCCCTTTTATACTGGAATAAGGGGCGGATTTTTTTTATTGTTAGTCGGCATGTCAACTGAGAAAGGCGGACAACAACATCTTATAAAACTTGTTAACAAATTGTAATTAGGACCGTGCGTCTATTTATAAACAACACAATTACTATTGGTATTCAAATTACATTTGACTTCACTTTGGAAACAATAGCGTGCCAAGTAAACTTCAGTTTTCTTTTCAAATTCTATTGACAAGTGAAAAGGTGAGATTTTTTTGGCCAGAGTAAACAAAGGTTCTTTTCAAGTTCTATTGACTAGTGAAAAGGTGAGATTTTTTTGGCAGGAGTGAACTTCGGTTCTTTTCAAATTCTATTGACTAGTGAAAAGGTGAGATTTTTTTTGCAAGAGTGAAAATCTATTGATTAGCGAACAGGTGAGATATTTTTGCAAGAGTAAGCTTTTCAAATTCTATTGATAAGGTTTGATTGAGATTTTTTGTGCAAGACGGTAATTTCCTTTAAGTTAAAGCTTTCGTACCGCACGCTTCGTCGGAGTAGTAAAGCTATTCCACGCGCGCGCACTCATGAACTTGACTAGTTTCTATCTCTTTTCCAATTATATGTTGCCGTTACCTATGTCAGAAATACAATCTTTAACTCTCGATTCCTTTGTTTTAGTATTCACGAAACCATATTCACATGTATTCATAAGCTGGCGTGCGGAACTTATCTTCCGTGTACAAAAGATTTGCAACGATATGTTCCACGCGCAAGTGTTTTCAAAAGCGTTTAATTTAATTCTCGAGAAGAAAAGTGATGCAAAAAAATTATAGCAATGCTTTTACGACAAACGGACGTCTCTGCAGTATTTCGTGCGCGAATTACCTTAACAATCCCCGCTCCACAATGAAAGCTATAATTGACTTGTTCGTTTCAACAGTAACTTGTTCGTTTCAAAATTTCATGATCTCAGGTCAAGTCACTTTTCTTCATTCTGTGCATACAAACGTTTATAAGGTTGACGTTTTCCGAGT